CACATAAAAGATTTTCCCCTGCTTTTCTTTGGCAATGTTCGTTACTGTAAGTAGAAGGACAAGTAGCACAACTACAATATTTTGAATGGACTCATTTTAACTCAAAGTCAAACTAGAGAAATTACAATACCAAAACTTTGAAAAACGTAGTCTCTAGCTAAAAGTATGAAAAGGATATACAACAAGCTGTACACATAATTTAATATTATGCCTCTAAAGGAAACAATGGTATTTTGACATTTTGCAAAGAATCACGACTACACCTACTCATTCCAAGGCTAGAATATTTGACAGTTATAATACAAACAAGTTCAAAAGTTGCACATTTAGTATGTCATATTCCAAGCGAACAAAAAAATATTCAGCACAGAACATTTCCCCAACAAAAGAAAAAAAAGTTAAACATACCTTTGAGATTCAATATATTTTCACTGATACAGTTCATAATTTTATCTAAACAGTGAAAAAAATAATATTTTCATTGTTCGTTTGAACAAGAAAAGAAACAAAATTCATGTGTATTTGATAGATGGACACTTGATTTTGGAGTCATTTTTAAAAACCTTTGACAACTACATGAATTTTTAACATTAAAACAAAAAAACAAAATACTATCTGACAGAAAGTTACTAGTCAGGGTTAATCCTGGCTGAGCAGGATACAGCATCCAAACATAAACTAAGAGATACTTGAAATAATAGACATCATGACTTGGGAATCGAAATCATGCTTGTTGCATGCACAGGTGAAGACCTTAACTTAACTATTACACCACATGTTTTGTAATCATCTGAAAGGGCAAAAACAAAATGTATACATCAATCTCTACCTGAACCCTTAAAAATGGATGAACACAATAGAATGCTATTGAAGAATGTTAATTCAGACAACAGTGAAAAGATGCAAACATAGTCTTGAGTATTTAACATGTCAGACTAGTATAACAAAAGCAAAAAAAGTGAAGATATGACTTTCATAGACTGATGATGCCTACTCTGGCCAGCCACTGAACAATTTGGTGAGTACCAGTCACTAAAAATGGCCTCTGCTAAGCCAATAAAGAGAAGTGCTTTTTCTTCTCGTCAAACTCAACACAAGCATTTTCAGGAGGTAATGTGTAGAGAAACACATTCATTTCAGTGAAAAATTTCAGTAATATCATCTACAACACGGGTTCCGACAATTCAGAAACTAATTGTGCTGGCACCCTTTCAAACAATGTATAAACCTCAAGAGTGGGATCAAAAATGCACAACAGAAAATTTCTTGCTTTAACTAACATTAAACATCACAATAAATAAAAATCAATTTCAGTCATGAAGAACTGCTCAAAGGCTGAACCTCAGAGGCAAAAACTGAGTTGACTGAACAGGTGATGAAGAGTTTGAATACAAAGGAAACTGAGTGTATAAGTAAGAGTGTGTGTGTGTGTGTGTGTGTGTGTGTGTGTGTGTGTGTGTGTGTGTGTGTGTGTGTGTGCATGCGTGAGTGTGTGTGTGTGTGTGTGTGAGAGAGAGAGAGAGAGAGAGAGAGAGAGAGAGAGAGAGAGAGAGAGAGAGAGAGAGAGAGAGAGAGAGAGAGAGAGAGAGAGAGAGAGAGAGAGAGAGAGAAAGAGAGAGAGAGAGAGAGCCTGCCTGTTCTTGTTTGTGTAGGCCTATGCATTCATATTTGTGTGTGCAAGAACTAATAAAGCAATCATTCACATAGAATGTAGTAGCAGTTGTCACTTTGAGCATTTAAAAAATAACAACAGTGTGAAGGAGAATAAGATCGTCAGTAGTTTAGAATTCCATTTGAACAAGGAATAGGTTTTTTTAAATTTTTTAATTCATTACTAAAATAGGAAACCTGTGCAAGTTCAGAATTAGCCTTTTCCCTCCCACTGAAATGCAGAAAGCCATGCTCAAGGTTTTTTTTAAGGGGCCAGAAACAAGTTTTTTACTCTTCTGTCATAATTTGATCAGGAAATTAAATTTTTTTAAAAACAACAACATATTTTTAAGAGTTCATTGTCAATGAAATTTCGGTTAAAAAGAAATGACGCGTTCCAGAAAAAAAACATCTGTCAGCATTCATCTGATCTCTGTAAACAGTTATAAGTTTGACTAATAAAATTCATCAACGAGACATTTACGATAAAAATTTAACATTGGCTGTCCTTCTGGCGTAAATACTTGAAGCACTGTAACCAGCTCAGGAAACTTAGCAAACAAAACATTTTTTTTATGACAACCAGGCTTAAATTGTCACAGTGAATAAAATGAACAGTTTCCAAAACACCACGATATAAAGCGCAATTTTTAAAATTCCATTTTAACTCACTAACCCTCAATCTTCCACTTTGCTCATAGCAAGTCCCTGAGAACCAGCCATTTAACCCTTTTTGAGCCATACCGGCCTTAGGTGGCCTCCCCATCATGTTGCCATACCGGCTTTCCTGCTGTAGAGCCATACAGGCTTTTACCGGCCTGACACACCCATCTTAAGTGCAGGCTTAGAAATAAGAACATTCTACTTTAGATTTAGATGCTGACGTCCTACGCCTCTGAATATGAAATTTCATTGAAATACTGCGTTTAGATCAAAAGTAAAAGCAATTTCTTTTAATACATCCCCTGAACCTCTGGAAAAAAACTGAAACAATTCTTTTCTGGGAAGCCATCAGCAGGCCGCCATTTTGGTTCTGCTGTGCTGACACATGCTGACCTATTTATGGTGTGGTAAGAGGGTTAAGTGACTTTTTTTTTAATTAGTAAGAGTGTTTTATTAGACAAAAAAAAAATTATGACACTTTAAATATACATTTCAACAATATACCTAGCATTTTGAAAATAAAAAAGATTTCTATCCTTTTGAATGTGTTTTCTTCTAGGATAGCACATGCTGTGAAAGTTTTAGAAAAGTTTTGAAGCACATGCAGCAGCATATGCGCAATAAAACATTATATTTCTCAGATCTAAAGGGCCTGTGTAAAAAATAATTGATCAGTGTAAGTGATAAGTGAGCAGGTAGTGTAAACACGGCCTAGCAGGTTCTCGTGGCCTTCCGAGCACATGGTTTCAGTAAAATCGGGGTAATTTAAATCGCTGTTTTTTCGCTCTTTCGCTATAAAACAGCAAATACTGTACATTGTGAAAAGAATCAGCTTTTCCCTATTTACAATAGCGTAAGTTGTTTGTATATTCGAGAATTTGGAGCTGGAGAAACACTGAGGAAAGCGAAGCCCCTCATGGTCAGAATGCGTGGTCAGCCGGTTAAAAAATTGACACCCATGCATTCTAATGCTTCACAGAAAGATTGATGATTAAATACCGTCTTTTCATTGGCGGAGAACGAAAGACTTTGAATATGCTTTCCCTTGGTATACTTTCGGCCTTTGGCGTTTAAATAGAAAATCTTTAAAAATAACGTCAAATTTTGAAAGATCATCTTTAACACAAAATATGTAAAATAACGGCTCAAAAAAGGTGCTGAAGGAAAGATCAGTTTATTTTCCTATTAGAATAAAGTCACTGGCTTGAAATTATTTTGCATCGATCCTTCCGCGAAACTCCGAAAGCATGTGACCCCCCAACGCAAGAAGGAGTACACTACGGGAAAGACCCGACTCGCTCGTCACCAGGGCCGGTGCGGCGCCGGCCGGGACAGCCCTTTTCATTTTTGTCAAAATAATGACAAATCATTGTGTTTGATGCAATAAAATAATGATTTGCAATGATTTTAGTCTTGAAAAAAATTAGGCTCCATATATAGTGATTGTACTCTGTTAACACATTACACCTTAACTCTCCCGGGAACGCCAGAGAATTTCCTTACTGGGGCCGAGATTTTGATTTGCATAGTTGTTGCAAAATGTTTCGTCTTCCATTTGATACAGAAACAATATTTTACGGGCCTGTAATTTTAGTATTAGAGCCGATCAAAGAGCAGTCGCATTTCCGAGAATTCTAAGGTGTCTCAAATTGTTGAAAAGCAACACAATTGAGTTTGAAAAAGGAAATAGCGATGGATTTGAGCAAAAACTAGCTTATGATAAATCAGATGAATCAGATTTTGATGAAAACGTAACAAGAGTTAGGGGCCATTCAGATTGATCAGATGTAGAATTTAGATCCAGGGCCTGACCGCGAGGCTGTGAGTGAGAGTGACAGGTCGGACACCCCGACTGAACTAAAGTTAGAACATTTCCAACAGTGTGGGCATACATAAGGTTATATTTTTCTGAAACTACAGTCAATTTTCTGTTTAACTGCTATTTTTTCCGGATTTTTGGAAATTGTTTAGTATTTTTAAAATGTGTTTTTTTAAATGCTTGTATTCACGGGAGGTGGTTTCCTTCCCCTTGCTTAGAATCAAGAAATGGACTTCCTGTCCAGACTCTTAGGGTGTAATGAGTTAATGTGGAGATGTTTGGTGAACTTGGTACTCTTTTATTGTCTGTTAAACATGGGGTAGCAGCCAGTTAACGACTTAGCAATATTTTATCAAATCTAAAACAGCTGCCATTTTCTTAAAAATTGACTGAGAGGTAAAAGAATGGTACCAAATTTCTCAGGAGACATAGGCCTTTCATATGGAACAGACATATTTGGTATACAGCTGGTTCGAAAATTTAGTTTCTGGTACCTAGTTAGAGAAGTATGTGCCGTAAAATCAGGCGGTGAAGTAAAGAAAGACAACAGGACTGTGCTGCACAACCAATGTGAAGATATGTCACAATACTTAACCCTAACCGTACGCTCTGGGGTCATTTTGTACCCCCGGGTTGTATTCTTCACATTTCAGAATACTTGTACTGTGAAGAACTCTTTGAAATTTTCAGTATTTCTCAAAAAATCATTTTGACAGACTACTATGCAAAGCATGCGGATCGGAATAACAAGTAAATTTCCTTTTTGGAAAGTGGTGGCACAGAGTTCCCCACATCGTACGGATAGGATAGTAAAGCATGACATACAGATAAAATGCAGGTGTTTCATAACAAAAGGCGTAAATATGTATCTTAAGAAGTAACTATTGGATCTTTCAAAATGATGTACAAAATTTCGGCAAAGAAACATTTCTCTTGCATTTCCTCTCCATCAAAGGCTTACAACTCATCTTGTAGTTTCTTTCTATCAGCTCCCTTACAATAAGAGGAACACAATGGCAGCTCAAGCTTATGCTCCCCACGCTCAGTGTACATCTCATAGATGCCATCCTCCTCATATTCCTCTATTAACTCCTTGCACAAGTTCTGTAATCTGAAAAAATGAAAAGCCCACACCATGCTAAAAATTTCATCTCAAAGGAAAATCACAAAAATCAATGACATTCTACTCATCTTTTCTTGCAAAACAATAATGTTTCGCCAAATAGAGAAGATAAATGGGTAGTATTGTGACCAAACGACCTGCTTACTGCACTCAGCTGTTTTGAAACAACAGGCAAAATGCTGATTTTCTCAACAATGTACATTTGTAACTCCAGGACTTCAAGTAACTATAATTTTGGAATCAATATAACTAGACTAATACCAAATTTCACCCGCTTGTAGGGCTTGAACTAATCTTTAATTTGATGCTCATAATTTTATACTGTTAAATGCGACATGTGATTCATTTTGTCATGTTGCTACACAAAAGTGTATTGAGCAAAACAACTAAGAAAACAATTCACCTTGATAATAGTGATACCACCATGATAATAGTGATACCACCAGTACCTAGTAAAACTTACAGCCTCAAAAACATTACCAAAAAGCTTCAGATTTTTAATGCAAAAATTTAAAAAAATCAGTGTTAAGTTTTCTGAATTCAAAACAGATATCTAATTAATAAAGCAAATGAACTTTATTAATAAGGAACATTTACAATAGGATAAAAGCATAGAATAAAGAGCTAATATATTATAAAGTGGTGCCGCTGCATGCCCATAAATGTAATCTGGCCCCAAGATATATTTTTACATTTATAGTCAGCCCTGCAGATATGAGTTAAACTCATTCTTTTTTTTGTCAGTTCAACTTAAACTCAAACAAAAGGTGGCCCTTAGGAATCAAGAAAACCTGAGGCAATATGATGCCATTCCATGTCCTCTGACCTACCTGGCTTGCCATCTGCCCCCTGCTTCCATCATCCCAGGTTCATCTGCACTCTCCAGGCCTTCTCCGGACAACACATTCTTTCCCTTTACATTCTTTAAACCATACCTGAAGAAAATTTTAACAAGAAAACAGCATTATAGAGTCTAGAAAATAATGTTATTAAAATTTGACTGTGAAACAGATATCTCAAAGTTGTCTTGAGAGATAAAGACACACAGTGTGATCCAAAATTGCAAGCCTCAAATCTAAAAGATAACAATATTTCACAATTTCTTATGCGTTGCTGAGAATAATATTGACAAACATGCTTTAGTAATGGCGTTAGTGTAAATCAGTCATGGAAAATCTTCAACCATGTCATTAGTAATATTAATGCCCTGACAAATTTTTCAGTTATTAAAATAAATCAATATTACCCGCGATCCCCCCCCCCCCCCCCCCCCCCCCAAAAAAAAAAAAGACTTGATATTTCTTAATTTCATAAAAACTGTGAGAAACTACTTATACCATTATCAAGCATGACAACAACACTCCGAAATGATCTGGGCCTGTACGTACGTCACAATCGGTTAACTTAAACTTGTTTAGAGCTTAAACACGGTAGCTATACGGGCCCTAACCGCACATAAACCTTAACCAGATTTTGTTTGCACATTGTGCTAAACAGAAGTGTATAGCTAAACGCAATGTGCAAAGTGATAATTCGTCAAACCCGCTTCGCTGTCACAGTGAGCTTTCGGACATTCTGTTTCCAACTACATGTGGGAGTTTCTGAACTGTGCAGCATGGTGGAGAAAGTCGCAAAAAGGGTCAGAAAAGCAAACTTCAGTGCTGGGGAAATTCAAATACTACTTTAAGAGCAGCAAGTTGAAAATGTGACCCTTTTCAGGAGCCACAGCGCCACCATAACCAGTGAGATGAAGAAAGAGATATGACAGAGAATAACATCGAAGGTGAACGCAGGCGGCATTGCAGTGTGACCTGTAATAGATTTGAAAGAGCAAAAGAGAGCACTGAAAGCGTCAGTTCTCAATAAAACTAGAGACGATGCGAAAACGGGAGGAGGGCCAGCACCAGCGCCAGTGTCCTACGAAGAAGTGATATGGTCAATCATTGGGGACAAATCAAATTTGTTATCTGGAGCAACAGGAGAGATACCGTTTTTTATCATCATCATTTCACACACCAAAACTTGAAGGCATTGGTGTTTCTATGTTACATGTTCTTACAATAACACAATAACTTCATTGCTTGTGAATCTTGGATGTAAATTTGATGTTTCATTTTCAGATTTATTTTTCAAATGCATGACTTGCCTTGCCTTGCCTTGCCTTGCCTACTTGTCATCCCTGACTTTTAGAGGTACCATGAGTCACCAACTAGTTTGGTCTTGTGATCTGAGCATGCATTGCCAAGCTGTTACTACCTATCCCAGCTTTTACACAATCAGTCTATAACTTCCGTTGTCTGCCTCTAGCTCTCTTCCCTTTCATCCAACCTGTGAGAATTGTCCTTGGTAGTTAGCCATGGCGCATGGCGTGCCCAAAGTATGTTAGTTTGACTGATTCTTGTTTCAGTATCATAGTAATTCTTTTTTTACTTTAAGTTTTTACATCACAGCTTAATTTGTGATTTTGTCTTTCCAGTTGATTCTGTCTAGTCTGCAAAAGATCCACATTTCCAGAACCTCATTCTTGTTTATTTAAGTTTTGTACATTGTCCAAGTTTCCGCGCCATAAGACACGATTGGAACGATGTAACAGTTCACCAGCCTTAGTTTCAGTTTCATTGTGATGTTTCTTGATAAACTATACATGTGTAAAGATGATGTGTATATATTTATATATACATATATATAAACAGCTTTCTAATATTCTTTTAATAAAAGAATGTATGAATTTTCAAAATAACCCCAAAATGCCAGTCTTTTTCATTGTGTCTGTTTCATGGGGTAAGCAGCAATTGTCTTGTATGGATTCTGAATGCAAACTTGGCAAATTTGGCAATTTTTGCGGCAAATTTTGGCATTTTTGGTGGCAATTTTTGGCAAATTGTAGGGTTGCAATTTGCAAATTACCACAGGGACAGATACAGATTTTTCCACCCTAAACGCCCGTATGGGGATAAACGCAGTTAGTTCACTATACAGACCGATGTGCATACAGGCCCTGGTCAATAAAAAATGTCTTAGCAGAGTATTACACAATTATCATAATTATTATTGTGATTAATCGATACATATCAGGCAGCAACCTCATACAAGAAAGATGTGATAATAAAAAATATGGCTTTGAATTTTTTACAGATGTAGACAAAAACATAAAGGCAGACAGATAATTTATCTACAGAGAAAAGAAAGACAGAAAAAGCCACAATAAAAAATGAGTAGTGTAATGTAAAGAGGAGAGATAATGATCATTTGGAAAATGAAAAAAGATACACCAACAAAATATTTAAAACATTGAAATATATATATCATAGGCCAGCTGTTCACATGTACCAAGACCAAATTTGTTGTTTTTTTTTATCGTAGTTTCCTAATTCGTGGTATAGGTTGCATGTGTTCAAAAAGTATTTTGCTGAAATTGAAATTCTATATGTTGAAGAGAGAAAGAAAAGATATAAGCCTATACATACAAGCACAAATGTTAAAAGAATGAAACATTTTTTCCTCTCTCCTGTAGGCTATAATTTTGCTTTACAGGCTTGGTGCATTTAAACAGCATGAGGACAATTTTTTGTAAGTTCGAAAACAACTAACTGTCTGTGAAAACCATTATTGCACAGGTTTTCAGTCACATCCAGGATCTCAGAATCACCCAGCTTCTGTCCTTTCTTCTTCTTCCTCTCTGCACTTGGGAATGCATTCTTTTCCAGCTGTTCAAAGACAAGTATAGGGAAAATGTATTAGTTAAACAAAATATACATTGGGCTAGGTAGTAACAGAGAAACCTGACATCAAATACAGCATTTTTGTGGGGGAAGCCGAAAAGACTCTCCTGATCTGAAACCTTCTCTGTCAAATAAGTCTCTCTGGATTGTGTTGCAGAATGTTCGCACAATGTATGAAGCAGGAACGAGATCTCAAGTATCACAAAAGATGAAGAGACACAGGCTGCACATACTAGAAGTCGGCAAAACACACAGGATACAGTCTGGACAGAAGCAGCTCAGCTCAGGGAGAACAAATATTGTATCCTGGGAGGGAAGACAAACACCATGCGGAAAGAGTGAGAATCTTTTTGAGTAAGTAAGCACAGAAGTCACTTGGAGGATGGGAACCACACGGAGAAAGGATCATCATGGCTTTATTCACTTCAAGCAGTAAGAGCATCAACATGAATACTCTCAGGAAGTCAGTCAGCTGCATGACAAAGAAAGTGTTAGATTGGAATCCACAAGGTAAAAGATCAAGGGGAAGACCACATGGAACCTGGAGAAGAATCACAGAAATTGGTGTACAGAAAAGTTGGAAGACATGGAATAACATCAAGAGGCTAGTTCAGTAAAGAGAATGGTGGAAAGCGTTAGTTCATGGCCTATATCCTGGTGTAGGATGAGAAAGGCAATTTATTTATACATGATGATGATGAATAAGGACCGTACAATTGAGACAGTTGGTGGATGGCAAATGGCGGTATAAAGGTGCAAACACTATGTTTATAGGGGATTCTTTTCGTACATGGGCAAAATCTGGCAGTAATCAGGGCTGGTGGTACAACGGGATGCAGTGCAATGTAGTTACACTGCATTAAGAGATCCGAAGAATTGTATGAATAGCACCTTTTTTAACTCATTCGCTAGACTTTCTTTCTATCTGGTCATGTGAAGGTGGATGCTAGATGGTGAGGTATGATCAAAGACAAACAATGTTTCCCTGCTTTGGGCCATATATGGTTTGTGAATTTTGTTTGGGTTTGTGTGCTTATGTGTGTGTGGTGTGTGTGTGGCAGTTTGAATGAGAAGGTAGGCACTATGGATCGGGAAGTCATTACACAAGGGGAGTGAGTGGCGTGCTTTGACTTTGACCAGTGCTGGTTACATCAACATAATCCTGGTCTGAAGTAAGAGCATGACTGCTTTATTTTTTAATGTATTTTTTAAAATAAAAAAACCCATCTTTTATTAATTATTGTTGGGCTCATCAGTGTAAGTAGCTGCAGTACACACCAGTGCAAATGATGACATCAGTATCTTAAAGAGATTGTAATTTAACTCATTCGCTTCGTATTATTTTCGGCTTGTGGACAAATTTTTTTTCGGGAGGGTGAATGAGATGATGACTAGTGGGCAGTTAAAAGGTCTTATTGTGGCCACAAATT